CAATCTTCGTTTTAGTTATTTTTTATACAAATCACAAATTGAATTTTTAATTAATATTGATTTATCTAAAAGCCATAGTTGTTACTTCTAATCATTAAAAATTCACAAAATAAACATACCGTAAATTATTTTTTTTCGCAATGCCGAAACGAAAACAACCATCATCAAAATCCTCGCGCGAAAACATTAAAAATGTTTTGCTCGAAGATTCATGTCAGTTATTGGAATACGATAACCGGATTGACGTTTCCATCATGCCTAATGCTAATGATTCGGATATGGAATCAGACTTGTTTAGCGATGATGATATATCTGATAAACAAATGTCAAACGAAATTGAAAAGGTACTATCTTACAAGCAGATTACCAACAATTATTCTTCTGATCAAAAGTATCTAGAAGAAAATCATAAATATAATTGGACATTAAGAGAAAAAAAGTGCGCTGAAACACTTAAAAATAAATATTTATTGACTGATAAACAACGGGATGAGATTCTTGCGAGTTCGCCAACTAAATTGTTCGAAACATTTTTATCTGCCGAGATAAAAACTCATATTATTGAAGCCTCTGCCGAAAATGATTTACATTTATCAATGAGTGAAATGAATACTTATTTGGGTATAATCATTCTAACAATTTTCAATAAAAGACCAGAGATAAGTGACTATTGGTCCACCAATCCATTATTGGAGTGCTCCGTTGTAAAATCAGCTATGTCCCATAATAGATTTCAACAAATCAAAGGGAAAATGTTATATTCCCAAAAATCTGAACAAAATCAAAATGACTTTGCCTGGCGAGTACGTACTATCTTTGAAATTTTCCGGAAAAACTTGAAACAATTTGGTTTTTTCCAAACTGCCACATAGCTGTTGACGAAATGATGGTTAAGTTTTTCGGAAGGTTGGTAATCAAACAATTTATACGTAATAAACCAGTAAGGTTCGGTATCAAGATGTGGGCATTATGTGGAGCTGATGGGTTTTTATTTGATTGTCAAATCTACGGCGGAAAAAATGCAGCCATCGATGGAAACTTGAAAAAATGCGCTTTGGGAAGTAGAGTGGTTCTCGGTCTTTTAGAAAAACTTTTTATTACCACAGTAAGAAAAAAACTAAAAATATACCATCTATACTGTGACAACTTTTTCACTAGCCCTGATCTATTTGTAATTTGTAATCATTAGGTTTGAGAGCTACGGGAGTTGTGAGAAAAGATAGAGTGAAAGAAAAGAATGATTTAGATAAAAAAGCTTCACGCGGGACTTTTATTGTAAAACATGATCAGACTAGCGGTATGAATTTGATAACTTTGATGGACTCAAAAGAAGTGTCAATGCTTTCTACTGCTGCTGGAGTTGGATCTGAAAGTAAAGTTAAAAGATATTCTAAAGAAATGAAAAAAAAAGTTGAAATGAAAATGCCTCTTGCATTTACGACCTATAATAAGTTTATGGGTGGTGTCGATATACATGACCAATATTGTAGCAAAGCATCACCATCCATGAAAAGTAAGAAGTGGACTTTTTCAGTATTTATAAGAATTATTGAATCATCTATTACTAATGTGATTATATTGTTTAATGCTGTGCCTCCAGAAGGGACTGAAAAATCGATTGTTAAAGATTTTGCAATGAACATTGCACAAAATTATCTATCACAAACTAAATTAAAAAATCACGTCTATCTCAAAACTACCGTATATAAAAAGTGCTCATCCGATTGTGGTAAACGAAGTTTTTGGTATTGCAATCAATGCAATCAATACATTTGTCAAACTTGTTTGAATGACTCTCATGCTGAATGAAAACACTAACTTTTATAAAGTTTTATTACTGTTCAAATTATATTAAAAAATTATAAAAATTAAAAAACTATACAAAAAAAATTTTTTAAATTTAAAAAATGTAAAAAAAATAAAAAATAAAAAAAAAATAAAAAAGACTCTTTATATCACGTTTATCTCCACGTAGTAAGGGTCGGGCAACGACAAAAACGTTTTGTCGGCAAAAAGACGTGATAAAAAAAACGTTGGTTTACATTTAGTTCTTTTTTATGTAATTTATACTAGGTATAAAATTGATTAATTTTTTACTTAAAAACTATTGACTTAATAAAAAAATTCATAATAACAAAAGAGTCTTAAAATTTACCAAGGAGTACTCTCAATTTTTTTCAGAATTTTCCGAGTTAATTTTCGAATTCGTGGAAAATCGAAAATTCCAAATTTGAGAGTATTTCTTGACTAATTTTAAGACATTTTTGTTCTTAGAAATTTTGAATTTCGGAAAAAATCCGACGGCATTTGAAAGAAAAGACATCTATAACACCGATAACAGTGTTTCCAATGGTGTGTGCAAGCTTTTTCCATTTCAAAATATACTTTTTTTAGAAAAAAAACGCGAAAAATTTGTGAATTTTCCGGAAAACCAGCCTATAACGTTTCCGGCTTACAATTTAGGTAAATTTTGTCAACGGCATTCGAAAGAGGAGATAAAAATCTACAAGATGTGATGCTTGATAAATTTTTCATACGATTTTTTTATTAAAAGATATGAGGATGAAAGTTAAGAAAAAATTTGTGTTATTTGGGAGGAAAAGGGTTAATATACTTTATCATAAAGTGTTTCAAATGCAGTAATTTTAGCCAAAGTTATAGATGAATTATATTTTTTAAACGAATGGGGAATTGTTGTTGAATTACCAGACGGCCAAGAAAAATATATTTTAAATTAGTCCTTTTCATCATAGATAACTTCGGATTTTCATTCGTTATTTGGTCTAACCAAAACTTATAATGCTATTGTTTTTTATCATCAGTCTTTGATTACAAATCATGAAAAACATATGGGTTGTCTCAAAAGTAAATGTAGTTTATAAATAACGGTTAAATATAATTCTCTAAGAGGATTACATGACCCGTAAACGTCTGGAATATTAGAGGAATGTGCTTAACACAGAATAAATCATTTTTATTCCGTAAAAAAATTCTGCTTACAACGTGATATGCTATCTGATGGAAAGTATTAGCGGATAATTTCTGGCTTTCTTACACTATTTTTTTTTATTTTTGAATTAAAATTGTTGTCTTTAGAAGATTTTAATGAAAAATTACAAGGTCTTGATTATGGTCCAAGATGTAACGTACATAAACCTCGTGAACTTAGTGAAAAATCTATAAAAAGTATATATATTACATGTATATGTATACCATATGCGTGTGCCGATTTCACGTAGTGACACAATTGCACGTGTCGACTTATAGCTATACAAGGGTTTCTCCCTTTTAGCTTTACAAACTAACGAATCTATTATTGAGTATTGTCGAATTAGCCAAAACGTATCCTGCGATAATCGATATATATTTTTTTTTCCTTCGATTTCAAAACCACTTGATATTCTTGTGATACTAATCTTGTATTTTATGCTGACAAACAAAGTTTGTAAAATGAACACTGTACAATTTATTATATAAGCTTTGAAATTTTACTATGTTATATAGCTAAAATATATTATACAGACGTTAAATTTTGCTACATCAAGTAGCAAAAATTATATTTTGAAATTTTAATATGTAATAGCAATTTTTCCTATAAAGAAAGTGTGTTCCGGCTTTACTATAGTAAATTTTATAGTAATTTTTACCACTATTGTAATAAATGTCATAAGATCATTTCTCTCAGTGTACAGGACCGTGATGTAAGTAGTTAATTACCAGCCGCTTGCCGTCCCACTAATGTCCATATGACACGCACCCACGGTGTCTCCACCTAACACGCTCGTTACTTATCTTCGGTTGTTAACAGTGATTGACGCCGATGTTCTCTGTTTGCAACTTAATTCTACTCACTACACGCAGCTTATACATTTATAGTCGTAGGACAGCTACGAGTCGTTTGCAAATCTGTTTTGAACTTTGCACGAGGTGCAGGCCGTCTACTTTCCTTTTTCAAAGAGGCAGACGAAAGTGAAATATGAAGCGCACACATGTATCCAGTTCGCGCGACAGCGCCTAATCCCTATCAGGTGGTCGTGTGATAAATATTTTGTTGCTGACGCTAAGGGGTGCAAAGGATGGCTCTGTTTCCTGTGTTTCTCTTTTTCTTTTTGACACATGACAATTCACTGTATATCCAACATGAATATCACGATGTCTCAATACTCGAGGTTCTCGCTAGCTTGCAAAAATTGCTTAGTAGATTGCATAGTTAATGTTCGAGCAAATATAAAGCTTTTATAGGAGACTATATATACACTGATACGTTAGTTAGCTCTAAATAGTTATGGCTATTTTGAATGTTGCTGAATTTATGAAACAGTGTTACCTTCGCTCATTCGAACTTTGTTTGCCAGCTTCTCTTTTGATACGCGAGATCGTTTGTTTTATGATTTCAAACCAAGTCTGTCAAATAATCAGGTTACACAAAAATGATAAACTACGAGGTCTACCTAAAATTAATTTATATCTAAAGTTAGTTTGCTATTGTATCATATAAATAACTGGAATAATTGTAAGCATCCAAGTACATTAATACCCGCTACTATGTATAACTTTTCAAGTACTTAGTAAAATTTAGCTTTCCATGTGAACACTTATTCAAGTAGTCAACAAAGGGCATAAACCTACAAGGTTTCAGACATTTCGTTACTTATTATTACCAGCAAACCTTGAAGATCCTCTACTTTAAAAACCTCAGTGACTGGATGTTATGGAATATTTATTAATATAAATTTGATTGGTTTATATTTTGATGTGTACATGTAAAAAATATGAGAGGTTGTACCTGCACACTTCGGAAACCGCAATAGCGTAGGCTCATGCTTTATGATTTATTTATGATTAGTAATTGAATTAAATGTATGCAATTTATTACTTATTTGGTTAGTTACGGTATAATAAGAATTTCATGGATAGAACAAGATTATTTTACAAAGCTAAAATTAGTGTATAGCAATATAAACAATTCATGCTTGTAATAAGAACATTAAAAATCTTACCTGAAAGTCCAAGTATGTTGCATATATCGGGTAAGGAAGAACAATACAAATAGCAAAAAACAGTGCTCCCAGAGAGCAGACAAATGCTGGGATGCGAGATTTTATGGGATCACTTAAGTATCTATATCTATCGCCAGCTATCATTAAATACGTCAACATTGATATGTGTATTGGAAGATCCTAAATAGAAAAAAAACATATCTATTAAATACGAAATTCAATTTCTTAAAAAATATAGAGATTAGACATTTCCTTTTCTATCGATAAAAAGAATATATTTCAAAAATTTAGTTGTTTCGTTCGACGATTCTTATAGCTCGTCAACATATATATTTCGACTTGTTTGAACTTTCATACTCGGACTATATTTTATTAAGCAAAGAAAATAAAATATACTCGATTAAAAAAAAAAATAAATACATAAACAAAAACTTAAGCAAAAACTAAATCAAGATTCACTTAAAGACTACATGTATTTAGAAGGAGTAGTATGAATAATATACGATTTAGAATAATTAAGTATATAAAGTGAAGTGTTATAATAAAAAATAAAGCAATGAATTTCTCTAAAAATTCATGAAACTATGAATTGCTCCTCTTTACAATTGCAATAAGCTACAGCAATAATGGTTAATTTATGTATTATCGCCATGCACTCCGTTGCGAAGAAGAAAAAATGATTATCAAAGAAGAATAAAGAGATACGGCGATTGTAGAGAAATCCCCTTGACTTTATTTCTGGAAGCATCTCGCTCGTACAAACGTTAGTTGACGACTAGTAACACCGGCGTGACAAGGAAGACGAAGTCCGGACGACCCGTACCAGGAGAGACCGCCTACGCTCTTTACTTCGTAGTAAGATATGGCGGTGCGCGATGGCAGCATATGCGAAATAATCAGTCCGAACATGTATATTTATTGATTCGCCCACCAAGTTTTGTTGAAAAAATATGCTTATTACTCGCGGTATACGCACGAAAGGTCACGCTCTAACCACTATTTAAATTAATTTCAATAATTTAGGTATACAAGTGAAATCTCGGTGATGTAGGAATGCCATTGAAGTCCTAGCAATATGTACTCGTATAGTTAAGTGTCTCTACGATATCGAGTGGTTTTAATGTTATTATATCGGACAATTTCATAGACTCTAAATTTAATTTACTTGAACTCACGTTATTTGCATATAATTATATTTCATTTATATTGTTTACCGACATTCATTTATGTTTCACTCATTGTATTCAATTTAAGTAATTCTACGAAAGGTGGTGCCTCGCTGAGTCGTTGAGATGGTGTCGATTTCTCTCTTTGTACCCTACAGTCCACTCTACTAGTTTACGCTTTTCTCGTGGTCTCCTCATGGTTAACATGTGTTACCCCGACGGCGTATAAGCCACGCAGCTAAGCCACGACCACGTTATCGTGACTATCGCCTATGTTTTGGTTCGACACTCGTCTCATTTTTCCGCTTTTCTTTTTTTTATTGCTTTTAAGATTAAGAGTGACGACTATGGCAGGACCCGTGTAGAAATTTTCCTGCCTGATCCCTAGTTGAAGGCCCGATTCTGACTAGAAATTCCTACGTTTGATGATTGAGTGTAAATCATACGCGAATCCGATCCGAAAACCGTATGTTGAAAAAACATATATATAAGATAGGTTTTTCTGAGCTGTATCCAGTGGGGAAGTCGTATAGCTCGTAGTTGTTTTCTCTGAGATAAGAAATCCCGATTAGAATCCGAAACGGCATTCTTGTAAACCGCGATACGTCGTATTCGCAAGGATCTTCTGATCATATTCACGTCAGTATTTCCTTATTTTTTCGAAGTAAATATTTATTGTATTTTGTATAGGTTAAGTGATAGGTTAAGATCGCATTAATACTAGCATAATAAAAGCAGAAATTTTATACTTATTTTATAAAAGAATAATGGAAAAACTAAACAGTGAAAAAGGAAAACAAAAAAATAGAGAGCGCAAGCGAAAGAACCGATTAATTCAAAATGAAGTTAAAACTTACATTGCTAGTACCAACGCTGTGTATCTTTGTAAGTTATGGCACAATAATATATTTTATTTTACTAGTAATTTTAACTTTACATGAAATATTGCGTTATTTATATTTTCTGATCCAGACCAACATCAGCAAGCTAAGAAATTTCTAATTAACGAATTTCTCTTGAGCAGCTGTAATGACGTGAAAAAAAAAATATTATCTGAAATTCAAAGTAACATGCAATTTGAAGAAAATTCCCATCGTATACACGAAAATGATACTTTTGAACCTCGGTCAACTAATTCAGACAATGACAATACAGAACAAAATAATGATTCGGTGATAGAGATGATTGCGAGTGAGCTTGATAAAAAAGAATTAAGCGAAATAGATGAAATAAAGCAATGGGCATTAAATCATAATGTTGATAATAAAACATTGAATCATCTTCTGTTAATTTTACGCAAAAAATTGTTGCCAGAATTACCTAAAACGGCAACAACTTTTTTAAACGTTAAATACGATTATAATATAAAAAAAATTGACAATGATGGACAATTAATGTATTATGTCTATTTTGGTTTAGTTGACAGTTTAAAAAATGTTATTAATCCAGAGCTTCACCCAGATGGGAAAATTCTGCTACAGTTTAACGTGGATGGCATGTCGGTATTCAAATCTAATAATACTCAGTTTTGGCCTATATTAGTTAAAGTATTTCATGAAAAGGATTTATACCAACCATTTGTACTTGGTATCTTAGAATCTGTAGGAAAACCTCATAATCCTATCGAATATTTAACAGAGTTCGTTAGCGATCTAAATCTTATACTGGAATCAGGTTTGACTCATTGCGGAATACAATTTAAAGTTAGTATTATGTGTTTTATATGCGATACTCCAGCTCGAGCTTTTTTAAAGTACACTAAAGGTCATGGTGGCTATTATGCGTGTGAAAAATGCAAAGTTAAAGGAATGAGAACAGATAGGCGAACTACTTATCCTGATTTTGATGCTGCTATAAGAACAGACGAATCATTTAGAAAAAAAAGCAACCCAGAACATCATACAGGCACTAGTCCATTACTGAAAATTACGCCACCTATTGATATGATCAAGTGTTTCATTTTAGATTATATGCATTTATCTTGCAATGGAATCATGTTAAAATTATTATGGGAGTATTGGATAAATGGCACACGACAAATTCGCTTGACTAAAACACAACAAAAAGAAGCGAGTAGACGATTACTATTAATCAGAAGTTGTATTCCTATGGAGTTCCAAAGAAAGCCTAGAAGTCTTTCGTATGCAAACAAATTCAAGGGGACCGAATTAAGATTCATTTTGCTGTACTGCGGACCTCTTATTTTACAGGATTTATTGCAATATAAGTTATTCAAGCATTTTTTATTGTTTCACGTATCTCATAGAATACTATGCAGCGACGAATACAAAAAAATGTCACATATGGCTAAAGCGTACTTAGTAAAATTTTTTAAAGCGACCCGTTTTTTATACGGTAAACAAGGATTAGTTATGAATGTTCATAATATACTACACATCGCAGATGATGTGATTAATATGAGTTGCAACCTAAGCAAAATAAGCGCTTTTCCCTTCGAAAATATGCTAGGAAAATTACGAAAGTATGTGCGTACTCCTAATAAACCTTTGGCTCAGGTATGTAGGCGTCTTCAAAAGAATAAGAACTTTCAAAATCAACCACCCGTTATACCTAGCAAGACTGTCATTTTAAAAAGTATCGGTACTAAAGATTTTGTTTACATTAAACAAATAAAAATTAGCAATTTCTTCACAATCACAGATAAGCATCCTAACAATTACGTGTTAACTAAAAGTGGAAAAATACTGCAAGTAAAACAAATTTACTATTTACGAAGCGACTCCGAAAAAATAAAAGTATCAGGTGCTATATTCAAAAAAGTCCGATCTGTCTACACGTATCCGATTAAGTCATCATATTTCAATATCTGCAAAGTATCCAAAACTAATAGAAAACTCTTGACTAACGTAAAATCAATAAAAACAAAGCTTCTTTTTTTATCCTTCAATAAATCTGTAAATAAATCTCATGAAAATTATATTTTGCCATTTTTGCATTAAAAAATTGATTAAAAGTGTACGTAAAATATTTTATATGTTTAAAATAAAACCTGTATATAATGTATAGATTACGTTATGTACAATAAACAACAATTGATAAATAGTAATTAATATGTGACTTTTGAAATTCGCAATCTATATTAAAACTATGTAATAAGAGTCGAGAGTAAAACAAACTGTTGGAATGTGGACATTCTTTATTTTAAATTTTCGTCTGCCTTAACGGCTAGTAATGCGGCAGCAGTTCTCGGAACAGATTTATCCGTTCTGATTATCGGTGTTGCTTGAGCAAAGTTCAATCGACGATTCCTTGTGATCTGATAAGTATCGTCTATTGTGTTAATTATACATTTGTTAAACGTCATCTCAGAAAATTTAGGTAAGTAATATAATTATTTTATGCACTTTCGTCATAATTCAGTGACTTGAATGTTTGTTTTCGTATGAACGATTTTCGGATGATACGATGAAGTATGTATACGAACTAACCTCAAAATTAATTTATACAAAGTGGATTTCATACTTTAAAAGAAACTATAAAAATATTACTCAATAAATCTATGCAAAATATTTTCATGCATTAAATCTAAAATTATTGACAATAATGTAAAATTCTTTATGTTCGTTCATCAAATAAAACCTTACAAAGTTTAATATTACTATACTATAAGTAACATTTCAATTTATAGATAATATTGAAATTGATATTACTGCGTGATAATTATTAGATATACAATTATTTTTCTATTCAGTGAATAATAATAAATTTACTAATATTAAAAAATTAATTAGTCTAATAAAAAAATGAATTATAATAAGTTATTATCATTAAACAGTGGTATTACCAATTGTTAAAAAGATTTGTGATGTCATTTGTTTATTATTTAATTTATTCAAATGAGACAAATAAGCATTTAATCTATTTTTCAGCTATGAACAACAGCAAAGCCACTACTAAGTATAAGTACTACATCTGTGAGTTTATAGGCTGCATTAATGACACTGGCGAAACTGATAAAGATATACTTCCTTCCTCTTGGATAAGGTTTGACACAAATATAAAAAAACTCCAAGCACCGTATCCAAATCCTCCTTATACGAAAGCTGTGTTTAAGAAGCTACAAGAAGATGTCAAATTGATTCGTAACCCAAATAAAAATTGGAGCTTGTGGGAAATCAAACTGAAAGGAGGTGCAAGTAAGAATATTATAAATATGGCGTACGGTTTATTTGTAGAATAATAATAATTTTCATGTATTTTTTAGACAACTATGTCCAGGCTGAGAGCAGGTTAGCGAGACTGAAATCTAATGGTTATTGTTTTACAACGGATCAAGAAGACCAAGAATCTAAAGCAGAAGATCAATTTGATGCATTTCGTAATGAAAATATAAACGAAATTTTAGCAAGTGATAGTGAATACAGTAGTATTCAGTCCTCTTCGCTTGAAGAATCTAATAGTTCAATTTCTGAACAGGAACGTACAAAGTCTGCCAAGATGAATAAAAAAGGTAATTTAGCCTTATAAACTCACTTCTTTTCCACATATTTACAATATTTTGTAATCGTTTTCCATTGATATTTATGCTTACAGCTACGAAAAAAAAGAAAACTAAGTCCACAAAGTATCAAGTGAAACTACCTGAGCAGAAGAAAAATGTTCTTCCAGAAATCACAGTAAAAGTAGATGAAAGGTTAGAATCGCCATCAGCTGAAGAAATCATTCAGCAAGCAGACTTGTTTGATGTTACCGAAGCAATAAATATGTCTGATGACCAATTGTTAGGTAAAAGTTACTGTTGTGGTTATTTGAATTATGTACTAAACTTTTTTCTTTTATGTCTACTTATATAAGAATTTGTGTTCAATTTATTATTTTTAGAGTATTCAGAACATACTCTGGATAGAATTAATCGGTTGACTGAAAATAAACCCAAAGTACTTGCAACTCAAGATAGCTTTCCATATAATGCTTCAATCGGTTCACCTGCTCTTCAAGTTTCTCTTGGTAAAATGTTTATGTTAAAGAATTATTTTAAGTTGCTTTATATTAATTTAATGTTTATAATTACCTTTTCTCTTTTAGATACAACTGCTATATTGAAAGCAATAGCTGGATTAAAAATTATTATACAGAATGTACAGTCCGACGTAACAGATTTGAAAAGGAAGATTTTAGGATCAGAGATCGAGAGGCTCAACCAAAGTTTACAAGAAAATAATTTAATATTACCCCTTCAAACTTCAGACGATTGGAACACTTTCAATAATATCCTGCAGAATGATATAATAAAAGAGTATTTGGTCGGGAAAAAAATGATTGACATCTATAAATATTGTATAGAAATATACATTGTATCATATAATAATGTTTTAATTTTCAGATCCTTTTTATGAAATCGCAGCTGGATAAAGCTGCTAATAACCCGACTAAAAGTTGTAGCAATATTTTGAAAAGTTTATTTACAAAGGAGTTGATTTCAAAATTTACAGCGTTGAAGAAAGTCGAAGGCAAGGTTGTATTTAGTAACTCTGTATGTTTCAAGATTTTAAAAGGTAAAATAGATGGGTTTATGTAATTCAATCTATTGATTCAAAACTAATTAGTAATTACTGTTTATTTTTCCAGTTCTATTACTGAGCAATCATCGAGACAATAAAGGTGATTTTATCACTGAAGGAGCCTTCAATCGAGCATTGACGTCTGCTTTTAACAATTCTAAGGATTGGGGAGGAAGACAGAAAAAAACATTTTAATTTAATTATATTAACTAAGTATTATTTTTTTGCCGCGAAAAAATATTCAAAAAATATAAACCATGTTTGTTATGTAAACTTGATGTAGAGATATTCATTAATTCATTATATTAAATTATTACAAATAAATAAAATTATTATGCATTTTAACGACACATTTTTTATTTAATAAAAGTAGGATTTGGATTAGTTTTCCGTAGAAAAATCCTGACTCGATTTACCTATCCGAATCGTAACAAAAAGCGGGACATTTTCCAGTTTGTTTCTGGCAGGGATCTCTAGTCCGATTCAAGTCTGAAATAGGTAAAACGGGCCCGATTCCATTAGGAATTTTCATGAAATTTCTACACGAGGAGTCGGCTGTCAGTTAACTGAGAGCCTTCGACGAGCTTGTACGCTCTCAGTTGTATCCTTCGTCAATTCATGAAATAAAACCCGATCATTCTGTCTTTAAATTCATCAAATTTTCCTATCAAATCACCTTTCGTACTGAATTAATTTTCATACGAAAAGCACAGACATTGTGCCAAAGAAACAGTCTCCTTTTAGTATTCAGTTTAGTGAAAGAAAGATCTGAGAATCTCTGTATATATTTATAGGATTTCGTTATCAACAAACAAAGTTTATATGTCGTTCAAATGCCTTAATTTATTACAAGTAGGTAACTGTAAAAGATAGAAAATAAGCTGACGAATAGAATGGTGAGAGGCGCCTATCTTTGCGACAAAACCGGGGAAACGTTTCCTCTATTTACTATAGCATGTGCCGAAGAGTCATAAACAAAGGCGAGCCTTGGAAAAACCCAAAACGCGTTTGATGTCGCGCCATCGGAAGAGACGATAAGAAAGTAATCGGTATGTGCTATAAACAATGGGGCCTGACACTTCGGCGGGTATCCGCAATAAACCGCGCCGGCACCGACGTGGCCTGAAACTTAGCCGGCATAATGGGGTAGAGTGAGCGATACGTATGCACCAGCTGCGAGAATGCGTCTTCGAATCTTTGTATGTCTGCCCGATTGCATTTAAGTGAGAGTTGGTTTGGGACAGGCGGAAAATATGTGAATGATGTGCGCGAGCAAACTTATCAGATGGAAAAATAGAATGTACGTGCGTGCGCCCTCGTGTATGAGTGTGCATGTGTGGGTGAGCCATATAGTCCGTGTGTCTGTCCTAGGGACAGTAGGAGGAAGGGTCGGTCAGTCAACACGGCACTCAGCTACGTAGGTCACGAATGTGATTGCTCAGTAGTAGAATTCGGCTGGCTTTTTTGACTGAGCACCGCTGATGCTACGCTCTGGCTGTTTGTGTATGCGCGGGTGCAGCAATGTATCCCGTGGCTTTTCTCGCCAAGGCAGTTCGGAAAATTTCTTTCGAGATTGCACTTAACTCCATTATGGGAAGCCTTCGTTTTGCCTTGTGAGTCATATGCATGCACGGGACGACCAAAGAGGTTGAACTGGGGCCGTTCGACGGTATGGCGGTCAGACGAAAATGAGAGGCCCAAAAGGCTCAGCCCTCACCGACAGTGGGGGTGGACGCTGGAAAGAAAACAGGAACGAGCTGAGTGAACAGAGGCCGTGGCGGTAGAAGCTTCCGAGCATTCTAACTGGTCCTGTGGTTTCGCGAGCTGCTTTATTGACTGCGACTTGTGTTTATATCGCTTGAATAAGGAATTTAAGCGACAGATTTGTTACTTTCAGAAAAAAGCAAAATCTTGTTAAGTTCAGTATTTCTAGTTTCTTCGCACATCACCTTACCCAAACAGTAACATTGCATCAAATTTAGTATTATAAACTTCTAAAATATTCTAATAAAATTGGAATCATTACCCCTGTACGATGATTTTAATTAATACGTGGAAAGATAAACCGTTAACTTTTCGCGAAAGAGCATAAATTATATTGTCTCTGTGCGCGTTTTTGATTAGTAAAAGTATCAAGGAATACAATTAACTTTAAATAAATTAGTGTTCAATTTGAATATTAGGTAAGAATTTCTTATTAGGTCAGAAATTGAAATTGAACTGGTCTTTGAAAATTTGTTATTCGAATAGAAGCGATATATTTTTCTTCTCTTTTTTCAATTGATCATTTTAGACTAAACTTTATAAGTATAACTTTTATAAATAACTAATTCAAATAATAAAATAATGATAGTTCAATACAAACCTGAAATATAGGTAGGCAAAAGCAGATCAATCTTCCAAATATCCAGTTTTGCATAAGCATAACGGCAAGCGTGATCGGAAGTACGAATGTGACGTGAACCGTACTAGCTATTGCAATATTGATAAGGAAAGCACAAGTCGTATCTTTGTACAAGCGACGTTTGACAACATGGAATATCATTGCCAAATTAGCCAACACGCTCGAGATAATCAGTAGAGAGTAAACCAACACAATAATAGGATAATTGGTTGCAAAGTACGGATTCAGATGTGGTTTAGATAAGTCGACGTTTGTGTTATCATATTTCTTGAGATAATGAATGATCATCGGCAGATATTCCTCTGGGATTTGATCCGAGTTTTCGGAAATGAGTGACATTCCGGTGCTGGCAATCTAGAGCAGAGTAATTGAATTCTATTGTATAGTGACAAGAGAAGAAAACTGGAAGATCGTGAAAGATCAAAAGTCGTATCGACGCATTCGTGGTCATCAAGTCAGAAGAAAAGTTTTGTCGATAAAAGACTTAGCCGTTGCTATGTAGACTGCGAATGTGTCCGTTGGAGCGTTGGTTCGGCAATAGAAGAAAAACACTGGCGGGCTGGGAAGTGGTCTGTAAATAGTTATTAGCGGGGTGCGCACACGAGAATACGGTCTTCCACGGCAGTGAGCGACTATCGATTATGTACAATCTTTTGCAATTCAAGCGATCACGGATAGCCATCTAGGCGTGTTCGCTCCGTCAATTTCACTGCTTGATAAAAACTTGATTATATTCACTGGCACTCGTCTTTCACAGCTTGTCATCTCAATCCTGTTTGCGTCCGAACGGATCTCAGCTTCTTCTATTTGTTAGTCCACGCTCGTGCTTACTATCAGAGTATCGCCAAGCCACATCAGCTGCCAGAGCTCGACTGCCTCACTGAGCTCTCCTACTTACTCTTTTCGTCCCTGTTTTTTTTTCTTCTTTAGGCGTGATTATTCGCTTGGCGAGATTGATGACAGGAAGAGAGGATGCCATAGATAAGAAAACATGTTGCTTCTATTATTACTATCACCACTCCCCTGCTCGGCCTTTTTTTATATACTTGACCTTGCTTCCATTTTATCATTACTACTGCTTCTGCAAAAAAGAGAACTTTTACTAGTAGCTTTTACTAGTAGAATTTCGAATACAGTTTTCATAGTTTTTTACAGGTTTCATGGTTTTTCTCGATCCTATAAAGTGTTTCTTTTTTATTGACTTATGATTCCTTACTAATTTTTTATATGAATTGCTTGAATACTCAATTAATTAAATGCTTGAAATAACATAGGATTAATGGCTTATTTTTCATTTGCTCTCTATTATATTATTTTGACACAATATTGTTATTAGAACAATAAAACAATTGCCAAGAAACTAAGAACTCACATTTTTAATGTTATATACAAATACTTTTCGATTTATGAAAAGGATATCTGTTAAATCTCTTCACACCCTATATAACTATGCAAAAGAAATTTTCGAAACGTTGCTCTGTAAACTATTTAATCTTTCCTAAGAGCGCTGAAGAAAAAATAAGATATACGCTTTTACTAAATCTTTGTTATATAAAAAGTATAATATTTTAAGTGAAGAATGGTTTGCATTATTCATTTCGTTTCTTCGGACAGTTATAACGTTTTAAGGATTAGGTGTGCGACGGGCAACAGGTTGAAATAAGCTGCAGAGTATTAATGTCCGTGAGTATTAATTACTGAGTATTAATTGTTTCTATAAAAAATTACAACAATACATTCAGAAAATAAATCAAACAGAAAAAGAAATTCTCCTTATTATAAGATTTACTTCAAATCAAACTAGATTAAGTTTTGTATTTAGTTTTTTAATATGCGTATAATATTGAATTGATAAAAGAACATCACTATAAGTGAAATACTTTAAAATAGAATAGATTCCAAAATATATTCCAATAAGAATTGCCTGAAATTGTAATAGTGTTTTCAATCACTTTCGACTATTGGTCTATACTACAAAGTAATTGCAAGCCTACCACAAAATTACATATGAAAATTTACCATAAAAAAATTCCAAATATGCTTACGTGTTTATAATTCAGAGAAAAAATATGCTAATAAGATCAAACATGTTTGAAAACTACCGTACCAAGAAAAAATACATTTGCAGAATAATAATACGTTTTGTATCTTAATTGACAACTTGAAATATTACGTCTAAGAAGAATGTGAAAGATAAAATTTTATAGTTGAAATAAATTATATCGGAATAAATAAAAAAAAATATAATAATTTATTTCGATAAAATTAGTAAGATGCCTGATGAAAGTAATAAATTATAAATGTATTTAAAGAATTAAACTTTATTATATAACAATAATTAAATAATATTACCAAAGCAAACATCTAGTCATTCTCAGTCGGATATTAGACAAATTTAATACGTCAAAATAGTTAAATGTTCAAAATAAAATTTGTAACATTTCTATAGATTTTTATTTATTTATATGTAATTAATTTAAATACACACGCATACATATATAGGTATTATTAAATAATTTATTACATATCTATTTTACTATTTGTCAAAAACTAACTACTTGTAATAATAATGAATATTACTCATCATGTTAACATACCAATTTTTGTAAAAAAAAGCTGTTTCATTTCTGTAAAACATAAAACATCTAAACTTTAATATTTTTTAATGAAAAAAGAATCTGGTACTTATCAAACTGATTAAGATATGTTAAAGATATAACTTAAATTTGCTATATATTAGATGAATAATCCATGGCATTAATTCTACAAAAATAAAATCGAATTTTTTATATACTTTTGGGTTCCATAATAACATAAAAGAGTGATCCAGAATGAAACTTATAAAAATATAGAAAGAAGCTTTCTAGATAGGTATAAGCAATTTATTTTCAGTATTAAATTACCTTGATTGATTTTGATTGGAAATAGCAGAAAGACGTGACACCGATCAATGAAAACTTATTAATAAATTTTCACTACATCATATTATTCTATACACATAATTTCTTATATTTATTGTTATTGAATCAATAGAAAATTAAATGCGATAATAACAAAGAAAAAAGCATAGTATTTTACGGCTTAAAGAGATCTGACTATAGGGGAGTTAATAAAACGATGAGTAAAATAATTTACAAGAAGTTGATCGTTCAACATAGAAACGTTACGATCGACGAGCGGCTGGCAACTGATTGCAGAATGTAGTTACGCTATTCGTACGTCGGCAGAACGACGACAACCACCGCGCGAACCTCATGCGCAAACTCAAGCGTACGCGCAGGCGGTTAACCAGCTTATTCAATCACTGACTTTTTCTTGTTATTTTCAACTCGGCTTCGTCTGATTTTCAGTAATGTGTTTTACTGCAAAATAGGTTCTAGCTTTCTTAGTATAATATGCATCTATCATGGACTTTTATATATTCATCTACTTTATTCTTTAGCAGTAGACGGAATAAATCCGTTTTATTCGTTGGTGTAAATGACAGCGTTAAAATGAAACAATAAGCTGTTAGGACAGATGAAATTAAATACTAATAGTAGATTATCACAGTAAATAAGTGATCACATATTGTAAAATTTTGTAAATAACTTTTGATTGGAATCTGGAAACACTCGAAATACCATATTTAAAAAAAGCATTATTTACTAAAATTATTATATTTGATATGATTAATTTGGCCTAATTTGTTACGTATTGATGCTTATTCTACGTGATTTGATTTTATATCAATTTAAAAATTTTACTTATTTAACATAGTGCTTTTCTATTGAACACAAAAAATAAAATATTATTTGACTATATATCTTTCTGTAGCAAAATTAACATAAATTTAATCGGTATAAAATATTCTACAAGGCGTAATCCTAAATTTAACCATTTTTTCATAATGGATAGAATATTAAATATATGACTTTTAAATATTTATTTATTCCTGAAAAAATATTTTATGTAAAATACTCTAGACCAGTTATTGGCAATCGAATTTTCGGATGAAAGTTTACATGTTCAAAAGTATTTTCTTTAGTAATAAATTCTATTTTATGTTTTTCGATCAGTTAGAAGCCATTATGTTATATAAACAAAATTTATAAAGTAGTGTAGAATTATGCAGAATCAATAAAGGTACGACACGAATAGCTAAAATTGTCGGACTATAAGAAATGTGCTTTACAGTTCATAGTAAAATGCAGTCAATTTTATTAATTTAGAATCAAAATGGCATCAACATTATAGCTTCAATATACTCAAAAAAGTAGAAGAAATATTTCAAAAGATAATTTATGAAAATCTATTAATAACAGAAGCACTCACAATACATTTTGTAACATCAAGTGATCGCTAACAAGAGTAAGAGTTGCGTTTGATATTAATATTGCGTGTAAAGACGAGACTTATTCTCTTTAGTGGCGTAAGCTTATTAATATTATTAATATAGCTACCAAAAATACTAATATAGTAAACATTACTACAACATTCTATAATATAAAGTGTTAAAAAATATAAATAAAATTACTTCATCCATGTATCAAAATTAGTTTAATCTTATGTGCAATCATAATAAATCTTTTAACAAATTATTTTCACAAATAAGTTGGACATCTCTATCCTGGCAGTGATTTTTGATTATCAGTTATCGATAGGATGAGTTAAGAAACTCAATTATAAACTTTGGAGAAATTAATTTGAGATATGTATAGAAGGTCATTGGAAAGCAGTAAATCATGTTACACTCCAAGTGATCGCAAACCCACTGAGCTGTAAAATGGATTACTATGCCATTATTCCTGACCATTACATATAAACCATGTAGTAAGATTTAACAAAGTAAAAAAAATTTTTCAATTGCACAATTCCAAAGACTACTTTTATTAGAAATATATTTGCTTATCATGTGAAATATTGCATACGCAATGTGCACGTTTGACTGAGAAGAGACACATATACACTAACTGACAATCCGAAATTTGTAGGTAGAGTGGAGAGAGTACGAGAGTCAAATTGATTTAAGTTAGCTTGAAGTTACTAATAACGAAAATAGACGTAGCTATCTTTATTGACGCAGTTATATTTCAAAATTCATAAAAAAATGCATTTTATACAAGAATCACAAACAAGTGTGCTAAAGATTGTGACATATTTTGGTGGCTCGTGTTGCGTTGTTTGATAGTGCCGACTTTCGGCTCAAACAACGGAGTGACGGACGTTCAATGTCCATCTCCGACAATCAGCTTCGAAAGGTAACCTTTCAACCAGTCTGATTGCCACAGAGCATTTACCATCTTTTTTAACGATGTATGCATTTTTGCGAGCTTGGAGGCAGTGATTGTACCAATTTTAAATAGTCG